AGATTGCGTTTCTCAGGTTTTTAATTATTTCTTTCCTCACGAAAATCCACGTCAGATTTCGCCATAAATTTTGAATTGAAAGACGTTTCGATCAAGAAGGAAAGATTAGTGAGATCTCAGGGAGAGAGGAAATTATTTGCCAACGAAAATCTGAATTCTTACAAATTCCTTTACATTTTGAAATTTCCTTCTTCTCTCTTGTCTTGTTATCTCGAACGTCGGAACTCTATTTGTACGACAAACTTCGAAGTTTCGTTACATTCCGGAGCAATTAAAAGACGAGATTTCGAGGATGACTACCTTGTTGAAACATCGATTATTAAGCTCCGATGGAGAAAAACGTTAAACCGATTATCTTTAGTTTTCTCTGTTTAGGTGAATCGATCTTGAGTCTATTGGGAAAATACTCTCGTGCAGGCGAAATCGTTGTCTCCCGGATAACATCTTTGTGTCTTTCCCAATTCGTTTCTTTCACGTACATCATGCTTCACAGTGAGATTCGATTCGTGTTATTTAACGGTTTCTAAAAGTCACGGGTCAATCGGGCTTCGACGTACAAATCTTAGCTTACTTCTTAAACGTTGGACGATTCGTCGAGATCGCATTTTACACGAGGAAGATACAATCTTAAATCTGTTCCATAAAAGTCAGCTTTATTGACGTTCGAAACGATCCAGCAACAAGGGCAGATGACTAGAGGAGGAGAAAGATCGATTTTTCGTACGAAATTGGATTTAAAGAAAAAGGGAAATCTCATTCGGATGCTTTGCCTAGGATTCAGAGATTTAGATTGTAAAGACCGGGACCCCAGTGTATTGGAAACGGTATCGAATCCATAAAGATCCCATAGACGTGATATCTCCCCTATGGTGATCCCTCTTTATTGCTATCGTTTTAATGCCTAGAAACGTATTTGACAGCTTGTTGCAAGTTTCTCGTTTCACCGATGAAGCTAATGGGAACTAATCGGTGCAACATTTGAACATTTATTACTTTACATGCGTTACCGTGGGAATGAAATAAATTTCTTACTCACCATATTTTCTGTACTCCTCTAGATTCATATTATCTGCAATCAAATCAGTCAACACACTGTAATACGCTGTATAGATAACCAAACTTATCTAAGAGTAACTTGGGTATTTTTATTTTCAAATTAGAGGAAACAATTAATTTTACGAACTGTGATTCTTGAAATGTTAATATCAAACAGGTGTTTGAATCGATGTACTGACAAATGAGGTAGTCGTAACGAAAAAGAAATTGGAAATTTCGTTTTAGGTAGAAGAAACTGTCAAACTACGACCACTGTTAAAAATTGAAATTACACTTTTAGAATATACTCACTCACCGCTGATCCTCACAATAACCAAATCTCAAAATTTCGATGGCACCGAATCAGGCGCATGTGTTAACGTTTATGATTAATTCGTTCACACCGCGAAGTGTTTGAGGCGGGAATCGGGGAAACTCGCGACGTGTCTCGCGGAAGTTTAGCACGACGATGCAGCGGATTTGAACGAGCGTGCCGTGTAGATACGCTTAGCTGCCCTGTGCGTGTTGACCTAGCGTCGAACTTTCACGCTACGATAGGTACTCGCGGATGATTTGTACGGATTCATCATCGATCGCTTGTCACATGAGCCCAGAGCTTATTAGGCTAGTGTCACAAGGCTCCTTGCGCCCTAGAACTAGATCGTATGCTTTCCTGGATTCGAGCTGCCCGATGAGAGTGACCTTTCTTTCGTATCTTCCCCATCGTACGTTGTTTCTTTTAACTTTCGATTATCGTTCCCTTATTACTTTCTCCTATTGATTTGTCGCTTATTTATTCTCAGGTTTAGATAACCACGTGATTTGATTGATGACACGAGTACAAGATTTTGAGATAGAGATTTTATATATCGATTGTTGGTAGTTAGTTCGTTAAGATGTTAATTCGTGTCGCACGAGTGGAATAAAGGTATCTCGAATGAATTTAAATCAAGTGGACGGATATTACTTAATCTTGTTTCGAAGAACAGAGGATTTCGCTCGCGAGTCCCGTGGAAATCCGGTGCTGTTTCTGTCTTCGAAGACCGGAAAGTTCAGACGGCTGGTTCAGCTGACTGGTCAAGTTAGCCAAATTTGTGCGCTTTGAACTACACATTCATAAACTGAATGATACATTCAGTATCAGAGAGTAATCTGAAGTGATAATATTCGTCTTACCTTGTCGTATTCACTCGAATGTGATAGAAAAAAAAAAAAAAAAAAATCAGATTATTCCAAATGAGAAATATCATTGAATTTCTCTGCTTGATAATCGATCGCTAGCGCGCGTCTCTTCGCGATGTTCTTTATTCAGACGGTCGACAATAGCGTTCACAATTTCATGAGGGATCTAGAGGGAGGGAACGATGAAGACGCGTTATCACCTAGCGATTACAAACAAGAAAATAAAAGATCTCGGCCCATACGGGGCGTAAAATGGAAAATCGAACATCGGCAGTCACGAGGATCTCGAGCTTAAGCCAGAATGACGCTCGACGATATTAAAAGCTCGTCCTTCCACCGTTTCCGTTTCCGACTTTTGTAATTTCCCGTAGCTTTCAGTATTCGTGCGCGATTCGAAGGATTTATCAGCGATGCCGACTGCTTATGCATGACACGAGCCACCGATTCGCGATTTCATCGAGAAATAGCAGTCGATCCGATGAACGTCTTGATCCTACCGATAACTAAATTGACCGATGAAAACCGATTATCGTTAACGATACGTTTTCCTAACTCACTAAAAACTAGGTAAACTCAGAAGACACACAGCTTATCTTTAATTGTCCACCGCTTTTAATTATGTCTGTTACATTTGTTATTCCTGATTGTTTAAAACGTGAAATTGACGATAGAAATTCGTGAATCTAAAATATAAATTATATTCACTCTTTGGACTTGGAATTCTTTCGGATGATCTTTATCTTTCAAACGAAAAGAAACATCGATTTCTATTACATTGAAACGTTACGTACACATGCACTTCCTATTGTCTGTACAAGTTATTTAATCATAAACTGTTCGTTAGATTTCTTTTGAAATTCTTAAAATTGGAAAGACGGATCGGGATGGATTTCGAATTTTCTTCGAAACTTCTGTCACAGTCGCAGTGGCATTTGAAAATTATTCCCAAACTATTGCCAACAATGCAATGCAACACATAAAAATACAGAAATTCTAACATTGTCACACAAGAATCCTACCTTTCCGGGGATTTCGAGTCCGACGATGAGCAGGAGCAGCAAGGTTCGGGCGAGATCGAAGGGAATGCGAAAAGAGAAACTTTTTGAACTTTGTTGGACAGCGATCACTTCGCAGAGACGACGCGAGAGAGACGAATTTTCGGCCCTCGTAAAACAGATATATCCACGGTTGAGGAGAATCGGTGGAATGCAAGTCGTTCAACAAGTGGCCGCTTTTATACAGAGACGCGCTAAGTACTAGCTGCTTTAGCGCAAGCGTAAGCGCAAGACCAAGATACAATTTCTGTGACTAAGCTTTTGCGATCTTAAGGGACTACCGATAGACGATCTTACGTTTCCACGCACAATCTCGATTAATTTTCTTGAATGCTTTTCTGTTTTCTTCCCCTCCCCGCCCCCCATTGTAATTTCTCTGCTCTCTTGCGTTTTCAATGACCATAGAATCTTACTGAATTTGATGATAATCAGCTATTATTAACCATGATGTATCAATAATATTTGAAGTTAATTTGTAGGATAAAACCTACGAATTAATTATAATATCAGAAAAATAACTGTAACAGGCATTATATCAGTCAGTCGTTCAAAAATTATTGGTGTGTTAATCCTGATTAGAAAGTCATATATTTATTAATTTTCACAACTTATTCCTTGAGCAAAAGACTAAGGGAAAAGTAACTAAAAATATCTAATCTAAACGAATGAGCGATATGTAAAATTACAGAAAAATCTTCTACGAAAATTATTTGATGGTATACAACATCATAGCTAGTGGAAATTCAACTAGTTGATATGCGATACGAAAAGAAAGGAAACGTTGTCAAAAAGAGAATCAGTATTCCTTTCCTACTACAGTAATGTAGTATTTCACAAGATCGTGCAAGCTCGTAATTAAATTATGTTAATAGATACGTTTCTGAATATTTGTTAGAAAATCCATTTGTTGTCTGTTTCCTAGAAACATCTATTAACTAGAAATAAATTAGAAAATTAAATTTTTACGTCACACAAAACTATCCACTTTTACATGTTAGGCCATTTTCAATAAAAAATCTTTCAATAAAAAAAACCATTCACGGTGATAAAATTTCCATGAACGTCCTTTGATCTACTACGAATATAAAGCTCTTCTCAGAAGTAAAAACTCGAAAGTGAAACTTAAAAGCAAAATCATAAAAGATTTTTAGCTCGTTTAATCTTTGAACAACATGTTTACAAATTTGGACTAATTAATCGCGGTTGTTTGTTTGTTTGTTTGAAATCATACCTTTAACTGTCATAAGATGCAATTTACGCATTTGATGTTAAAGTATACTTCTTTTTTTTTTTATTAATTTGTTTAATACTTTTGCATTGGTTCAAAGTTTTATTCCATTTATATGATATTATAATATAAATTTGGTTCAATGGATAAGAGATAGTTTCAGTTTAAAACAGTGTAGTTGCATTTCTAAGTTATCAGCGGCTGATCACGTAGGTTCCGAATCTACTTGAAAGGCTTCTCGTGCACTGCTTTACCTTGCATTCCACCGCTCGTTCTGTTTCTTCATATTTCAATTCTGTTTGTCGCCTACTGACGGCACCAAGTTCTGCAAAATCTTTCAAACATCTCTTACAAGATAATTTTCCAACAGTAATGTTTAAAAGTTTCCAACAATAAAACTCAATGCTGAATTACAA